GCCCGCTGCCGTTTCCCCTCCTCCGAGAGCAGAGCTGGTGACGGCATCTCGTCTCGCCCGCTGCTCCGAGAAGCAGAAACCAAACCAACAGAAAAACCCAGCCAGAAAAGAGCGGAAAATTAAAAGGTTACCCCCAAAAAAAATGGTTTTGGTTTTTTGTTTGTTTCTTTTTTTTCGTTTCGTTTTTGTTTTTTTGTCGTTTTCGTTGGTTTTTTTTGTTTTTTTTTTTTTTTTTTTAAATAGGCTAAAAGCTGAACATTGGAAATTCAGGAGAGGACACCGAACCCTTTCGCTCGGGGAGACGTGTGCCGGGTTCCTGTCGGGCTGTGAAATCCCGTCTCTCTTCTGGGTGCTGACTCTTCTCTCATTCCGTGTTTTCACTTCTCTTGGCGTGGATGGTTTTGTTTCTGACTTGCTCCGTGTCACCAGTTCCTGTCTGTCTCTCTTAAACGCAGGCAAAGTATTCCTTCAGGGGAGCAAAGAGGTGGCGGATCACCGGCACGCTCCAGGATCTGCCGAGCAGTCTCTGCCGGGCCAGGCGGCTCATGTTGGACACGTCTGTGTAATGCACCGGGAAGCCGAAGACCCTGCGGGGCACGGGGAGGGGGGACAACGGGGAGCAGGGTCAGGAGGGTGCCGGCCCCGAGGGACGCAGCGCTGCCGGCCTCCCCCGGCGACCCCCCACCTCGTGGACGAACGCCGCGCCCCCCCCGAAGCCAGCCCCTCCCGCACCGCCCTCGCATTGGCCCTTTGCCTGGCTTCTCCCCGCCCTCGGCAGGGGCCGATTGGCCGCCGTGTTGGCCGGGGCGGCGGGGGTGGGCCCCGGGCGGCCCGGCCGGGGGGGGGGGGGGTGGCCGCGGGCAGGCGATGCTGCCCGGTGCCAAATCCGAGACTCCCATCCTGGGGTGCCGGTGCCATCGCCGTGTCGCTCCTCCACCCTCCGGGGACCCCTCCCCTGCAGCCCAAGGGGCCGGCGACGGCCGCAGGACCCCACCGCCCCCTCGGCCACGCTGTCCCCGCTCCCGCCCGGTGCGTCCCGCGTGCCGGGGCTGACCTTTGCTATCCTGCCGTGCTCCAGGCACTCCTGCAGCTCCAGCTTATCGTTGACTGTGGACGCGAGTGGCCTGGGGGAGAGAGGCAGGGTGGGCACGGGCTGGCAGCGCCATGTCCCCGTGTCCCCACCTGGCACCTGCCTGGCGCAGGGCAGCTCTCCCGCCAGGGTTTGGGGGGCGCTGGGTGGACAAGGCCGTTTTGGGGGGCTGCGGCAGGCGATGGCGAGAAGCAGCCGATCCCCCGGGGGGAGCCGCCCCCCGGCCCCCAGCCGTGTGCCACCACGGCCCCCGTCCGGGAGGGACACAGAGGGCAGCTCCATGCCACCCCGCTAGCACGAGGCAGCAAGGACAGGACCGGCCTCATCTATGGGGTCCACGCTCCGGGCTTTTGGCGTGTGCTGTCACCCAGCGCCACTGCGTGAGCCCCCCCTGCTCTTGCCCAGCACCGACCGGGGTCAGGGGACCCCCAGAGCCACATCTGGGCCCGCGGAGGATCCAGGCGTCCGGCCCTTTCCGCAGCCCCCGGCAGCGCCCTCCCTCCCGTTGCCGGACCAGGGGCTGCCGGCCAGCCCAGCCTCGCAGCGGGCAGGGCGACAAGCAGGCAGCCACTGCGGGCAGGCAAGCGGCTCGGCTCCGGGGCGCTCTCACCAACCTGTTCATCCCGGGAAGGTTCCCCCAGAAGTACCGTGCCCTGTGTGCTGCAGACACTTCTTTGGCATCAATCATGACGGGGTTGGACTGCGAGAAGGGAGAGAGGCGAGAATTGAGTGGGGCTCGGCTGCCCGCGGCGGGGGCAGGACCTGGGGGTCCCCGGCTCTGGGTCCGGAGGGCGGCGGCCCCCTGGCACTCACCTCCAGGAAGCGCGAGATGTCCCTCTTGTCGCTCACCCCCATGGCCACCACGTTCTCGAAGAGCCAGAAGAAGGGCCGGTCGTCACCCTCCTTGGGCCGGGCTTCGTGGAGCAGGCGGTAAAACTCGAAGAAGAGCCGCCCGGTGCCCTCTGGGCGGGAGAGAGCGAGAGGCGCCAGCGTCAGTGGCGGGGGGCCGGTGGGGGGGGGGGGGCCCC